GCTCCGCGGTGGCTCCATACAGACCAAACGCCTCCAACAGGGATGCAGCGTGGCCCGGTCACTACCCTGCTCTGTCCGAAAGCAGAGAGGGGCGTGTCTTGGGGGCACCCTGCTCCCCGGTCCTTCAACTGCTGGCTCAGCTCAGCTGGCAAGTGTGGGGTGACAGGGGGGATGACGGCCAAAGGGAGGGGGGACCCGGCCTCGGCAGGGCCCCACTCTCAGAGCTAAACCAGGCGAGGCTGCCGCGAACCTCCGTGGCGCCGTGCCCACCCCGCCGAGGACAGGCGTGTGCGCTTCCCGAGCGCCGACGCAGCAGCCCGAGTGAGCCGGGAGGGTCTGCGGACACAAGACGAGAAGGCTGAGAGCTGTGCCACGGAACAGGAAAAGGGGCGAATGCATCCGCTTCCGAGAAGGGGGGACCCTTTCCTCCCTGAGCAAAGAGTCTGCAAAACTACCCTGCGAAGCCTGACGCCAGTGTGTGGTTCAGGTCTGGGGTTGAGTAAGCAAGCGACCCGAGAGCCCCTGGGAAGAGAGTGTGAGGACCCGGCCGAGCGGGCTCCCCGGGACACGCCAGGCCAAGGACGCCTCACGGGGTGACAGGTGCGCTCGTCAGGGGCTGGTCACAGACTCACCCAGCGGGCGTCTGCCCAGGCTCCTCTTGCGTAGGCAAGACGGGGAAGCGGTTCAAAAGTTAGGCTTTCTCTCCTTGAATTGTGTGCACCCTCGAACCCAAGCAACAGGCACTGAAGGTTTGGCATCACCCTGCACGGTCCCCACCGGGACACTGTAGAGGCGTGACCTCCACCCAGTCCAGTTCCCCTGTGAGTTAGGAAGCAAACCGGACTCTCCAGGACAATTTGAATCCGTTTTCCTTTTGCATTTTGTTACCCAAATAATTCTAAGTCATATATACCCCTTTTCCACAGTTTCAGAACAAACTCGATATTTTCTTCTCAAATTAAAAACCATTGCTACTTCCTACAGTTATTGTCACTTATAAAAGGATCTTGCCTAGAAAATTTCAAGGTCTATATGTAAAACGAACAGACCACAAATGAAAGGTAACGCCTTTCAATGGTGTTAACTAGCTCCTTTCTAATTAAATAGAATTCTCAAAACAACTTTTGTATCATGATATGGATTCTCCTGTTTTATCCTTGCTTGGTCTGTTTTTTTTTTTTTTTCCAGGGGGTGTTCTTCAGTGAGAATATTTTGCTTTTGAAAATGTTGCTGCTTCAGTGGTGCCTGTGGAGGCTTGTCCTTTCTCGCTGGGCGACCTCAGCTCATTAGCGTTTTCTCCTAATGAGGCCGCTGTCTCGCGTGCTGTTTGTAGGTCAGCGATGTTCCGGGGGTTGTTGGCCGCGGCCGGGGTCACCTTGCCCTCGGGCCGACCACCACACACACGTGTGTGCTGCTGCCCAAACGAAGGATCACATGCGAGAATGTGGATGCATAAGCGAAAATTTGCTCTCGCCATTTTAATAATTTCTCCAATAAGTGGACAGCGTTACACCATTATCCTCTTTATTTGTTGTTTCGTATTAGGACTTCTTTCGAGACAGTTTTTGTATAATGTGCAGTGCCGTGGCGAGCCCAAATGGCAATTCACACTCTCGACTGTGACGCCCACGCCGAGTTCAGCACGGGCGGCAGCTCTGTAGCTGATGGAATTAACTTTGCGAATGTTTTGAGGCATCTAGTGTGCACTAACCAGCACTTTAGATGCTATGGGACGTACTACTTTCTAGCATCAGGTCCTAGATGACGTGAGAGGAAGAGTTCAGGTTCCATGGGCGTGGGAAGACGGTGGGAGGGGCAGGAGTGGAGGGCGGGGAAAGGGTGCAGACCAGGTCCTGCAGGGAAATCGCTGCTGGGGCGCGGCTTGAAGCTCCCTCAATGTCGGCTGCTCCGGACGGTGGGGGACGGTGGGACCAGGCGCTCCCGGGAGATGGCAAAGGGACGGGATGGGAGGACCACAGAGCACAGCGTGCACAGAAAGAAACTAAAAATAAAGCCCCAAGCTTGATTTGCAGCCAGATAGTTAATGGGAGTCCTTGAAGGTCATGCCAAAGGATTTAGAGTCTGCAGACACCAGGTGGGAGTCTGTCCTTGAGAAATGAACCTGCACCAGGTGGGACGGCGAGTTGAAAGGTTTTTCCAGTAAGAACTAAAGTGCATGGTGCGGGCCAGAAGGAGGGGTGGGGGTGTCACGGGAGAGAGTTCTGGGCTAGCGGGGCAGGTAGAAAACTGGAGGGAGGGGGCTCCGGGGCACAGGCACAAACAGAGGGGTGTACTGAACCCCCACGAGAAAGCCCGGCCCCCGCTGGCCCCTGAGCGCTGTGCACAGCAGGGAGGGCTGGCGAGGCCCCGAGGAGGAGCAGCAGCTGGAGATGGGAGAACTTCGGCTGCTGTCCACAGAGGAAGTTTGCAGCTGACGCTGAACAAGCTAACTGTCAGGATTAGAGCTGATGTTCTTCAGAAGAACGTAACAGAATCCAGAGACTCTACAATATGTGGTTGCTAGCGCCCATGGTGTGCTGGCTTGTTCCGGGCCCCTTGAGATCAGATGGGGCCCCCGCCCCCACCCGGGCTGGTCAGTGACCAGGGAATAGCAGGGAAATGTGTCAGCTTCCAGGATGGTGCATTCATGGTCACAGACACCCGTCTGGGGTCTCATTTCCTCTGCTCCGGTGACCAGTGACACTTGTCCGGCTAGGTCCCTGAGCCATGGCAATGACTACAGCCCCTGCCCACCTTGCGCAGGTGTGAGCTCACGAGAGACACACCTTTGCTTGAACACACTCACTGCTTCAAGGTCTTGATTTTGGAGATGGTTGGTATTGCGGCGTAACCCAGCCCATCCTGGTCGGTCAAGTTCCCTCAAGCACAGCAGGAGAGACCTCCTCTGGTCTCAGTGTGTTTTGAAGACAGTGTGTGGGGCCGAGAAGGGGCAGGCCGTGGGAGTCCAGATTGAAGCAGACAGGCGGAGGGGCCGAGGAGGACCGTCTCCAGGAAGAGAGAGAAAACCGTGGGTCGTCTGATGTTAGGAAAATAATGTTCACTCGCTAGATCCTGAAATAGTTGAAAAAATAGTACGAATGAAGCACACGGGACGAGAGGCAATTACCAATGCTAAGAAAATAAGCTGAGGAAAGTCATGGAGTCACAGCGGAGGTGTGATTCGCAGAGAACAGTGTGTGGTGGCGGTGGTGTTAGCAGCTGACGACCGACTCGACTGTGAGGTGGTGGCTGTGAAAGGGGGCAGGGGTGAAGGGAGGGCCACTTCCTGCCACTGCTCGGTGACCGGCAGCCCCCGCCAAAACCGTGTGGCCGGAACAACCAGACAGTGGGGACAGTCTCTCAAAGAAGTTCCCAAACCAAGTCTCTTTTTCCCCTTGTAATTAGTGACTTTTCTCCCACTTATATGTAGTTATCCCAAACAGTCTCCCACACACAGACTGTTTGTGTGGGGCTTTTATGGCCACCATATTTTTTTACAAGCTACCTTGGCTTTTTAAAAAAGTTATCGCCTTCCTGAGAGGGTGTCTCACTTTTCCTTCCCCGGGGCAGCACGAACCAGGGGTTTGTCAGGCAAGCAGCATCTCGGCCCGCCGCACCCCCCACCCCGGGGCGGCGTGGAGATGATCTGTCTGCACAGGGAGGTCCGGGGAGCGGTGCTTTGGACCAGTGACTTTCAGCCGGTGGGTGCAAGGACTTTTAAAACCTGCAGTCAGCAGTGCTGACCTTCCAGTCAGGGGGCACTGACCCCTTTTCCTTTAGACGGTCAGATGAAAACAGGATACCAGCCAGCCCAAGAATGGCCATCCAGTGTGAATGAATCACAGTGATACCCGAGTTTTTGTCAGATTGGCAAGAGATTTTTGGGGGTGTATGGTGCAGAATTTTTGTCATTAGTGCGCCGTGCTGAGAGGTGGGCCAGGTTGAGCGTCGCTGCCCCGGACGGCAGGTGCGCACGCCAGGGTGGGTAGCGTAGGGTGGGGGTGCAGGACGGCGGGTCCAGAACAGAAGGCCAGGCAGCGGGGGCGGGCCCGGCCTCTTGTGTCTCCCGGCCGGAGGCCGCCTGTCCCGACAGAGGCAGACGGGGCACCGTGCACTTAGGCTGCTTCGGCTTGGTGCTGCAGAACCCGGCGGCTCCCCAGTGGGTGGTCAGGGGGCTGGGCCTGGCCGTCCGGACTTGGGGAGAGAGAGGCCGGCTGTCCCCGGCTGGAGCCCTGCCCCAGCCAAGCGGCCCTGTGACAAGGGTCAGCAGCAGCCGTGGCAGCCGGCTGAGGGGACCGGGAGGGACGCAGCCCCTACAGGCCCCCCCACCCGCCGACCGTGGAAACTCGGAAACAGGTGTGGAAGGGGGCTGCTTGCAGGCAGCTCCTCCGACGCCGACGCCGGGGGTGGGGGTGGGGCTGGGGCTGGGGAATCTGGCCACAGGAAGGAAGCGCAATCTCATCACGGACAAGCAGATACAGCCGGTGACAGCGCTACTCCAGAGGCCCCGGAGCAAGCTGCCCTGGATGGAAATTTTCAAGATTCAGTCACGTGAGCCTTTTCTCCACGCAAGATTATTTTTTTTTCTTGAAATTATGAATCCTACTACCTGGAAGACACCAAACAGAACTGTGCTTCTACCATAGTTTAAAAGCTACAGAACTGGGGAGTTGGGGGGCTGGGGGCGCGCACACAGGCTCACCCTGACGTATGTCTGCACCTGCGGGTTCGCGCCGGTGCGGCGTGGCTCCTGCGGCGCGGAGCGCTTTAAATTAGCGCGAACCCCGTGCGGTCGCGGCTGTTTACGCGGCGAGGCCGCCGTGCAGCGCGGATGATGGGACGCATTAGGAGATGGGGGGTGTGCGGCCCCATCCGTCAGTTTATGACAACCCCCCGCAAACAGGGAGCTGGCGTCGGTCTGCTGTTTTATGGCTTAATTAGCGCGTTGTCACCGAGCGGGCCCAGCAGGCGGAGGGGCGCCTCCGCGCCCGCGCACTCACTTTTTATCGGGATAATGAGCTGCGGGATGACAGGGAGGATCTTGCTCCCGCCGTGCTCCAGCATGTCGTGGACTCCTTGCCGGGCGAAGAACTCGTAGGGAAACGTCATCTCGCAGAGCCCGTCAAAAAACAGAGGCAGGTAGTGGTGGTAATCCAGCTTCTCGATTTCTACCTGCGAGGACAGAGAGAGAAAGGGCGCGTGAGTCGCCGGCCGGCCCAGCCAGGAGTCACGGCGCAGGGCGAGCCAGTCCTCCAGACCCTGGGAGGAGCTTGTCCACCGCCTCCTCCTCCGTGGTCGTGTCCTAGACCTGGGTGGGGTTGGGCAGGGCGCGGTTCGGCGTTGTTACAACTGCCCAGCTCTTCACTCCTCGTCTCTCCCCTCGTCCTCTTTTCCAGCACCGACTCGGTGTGCGTGTCCCCTGCCTGGGCTAACGTGACATTGCCATAACTGTTTGTCCCTCGCACGACCTCACCCTCCTCCCCACGCCGTGCTTACGGAGTGGGTCTTCCAACGAGCTCACAGCTGCAGTGGCTGCCCGCCCCCCCCATTCATCCGACGGGTGTGTTCTCAGAAAACAAATGCTGAGTGCACAGGTGCTTCTGATGCTCAACAGTTTTCAGAAAGAAAGAAAAGCAACATGAGAGCAAATAAAGGAAGAGAAGAGAAAAGGATTGTGAGAGTGAATTGAGTAAGAGCCAGAGGGACAGAGACTGAGAAAGGAGATTATCTCGGTGTCTCACCCCTCCTAGCTCCCTGACCACGCCTCCCCGCTCCTGAGTTTGCCTCCCTGCCCCGTCACCGCCCTTCTCCACACTCGTGGGTCCCGGCTGAGGCCCCCCCAGGGCCGCCCTGGCCGTCCAGCTCCCTGGGCCCCACGCGTCCTCCCGCCAGCACTGTTCCCTGGAGACACGCGCCGTCCACTGCCCACGCACCCGGCCTCACTCAGCGCTCCAACTCCCCCCCCCCACCCCCCCGCAGGCTGCCTTCGGAGGTCGGATGCCCCGTTCCCTTTCCCTCCGACTCGGAGGCGCTGGCGCCGCTTTGAACTGGATGTCAGCTCAGGGGGGCCTCCTCCACCCCCCGCCACCCCGGCCGACTGCCTTTGTAGCCCTTATCACTTATTCATCGCAGTTGCACGGCCCTGGTGTTCGAGGAGCTTGTCGCGGCCCGGAGAGGGTCTGGCCCGTCGCAGGCGTGTGCTCGGTGACTGCAGGCTGAGTGCTGAACCGGACCTTTCGGATCCGTCCTGTGTGAGCTCTCCGGCAGGCCTCCGCGGCCGGGGAGCAGCGGCCCGTGCCCCCCACTGTCCCCAGGCCTGCGGCTGGGGCCCTGGCAGAGCGTGCAGGGGTGGGGCCGGCCCGCCGCGGGAAGGGGTGTGTGCGGGTGTCCGCACTTGTGTGTCGCCTGCAAATACCGTGTCTGGCTTCTCCCTCAGGGGTACAGGGGCTGTGTACATGTCAGGGGGTTCGTGAGTATTTAATAGATTATTGGAATGGGCTTCTGGGTGCTTCTGTTCACCCTCATCTCACCGGAAATCCCCGAGGTCTCGCTTTGCTGTTCTGCTTATTTTACGACTTAGAAGGGAGAGTTTCTGTCTTCATGGTAGCATAGAAAGCAAACTTATGACTGTCTGCCCATAAACAGTACATTAGGTGCTAATAGTATAAGCCATTTTTTAAAGTCTATATTAGGAGTAATTCGAGATGAAAAGCAAAGGTCTGGAGAAGAGATCAAGGAGGACACCACAGTTGGCATTTGTGCATTTGCCACGTGGCGACCACTGTCCCTTGGAGCGGAGACTGCTGGCTTTCTCTGTCCACCTAAATTTGCAAAAGGCCATTCTAATTATTTATTGAGTAGGAAACCCTTTCTAAAAAATTTTTTACATTATTTGGCTGTTAACTGATTTTTTTCAACAAATGTTACACTTGACATGTCTTTAGTGTTACCATGGAAATAGTACTTGTCAAACTTTGTAAAACTTGGAAATCTTTGTTTAAAGTGTATACGAAAAAGTCCGGAATTAAAAGAAAGCTAAGTGTAGTGGGGGTGTCCAGCCCGTGGCCGGTGGGCCGCGTGAGGCCCAGGATGGCTACAAATGCAGCCCGACACAAAACTGTACGTTTACTTAAAACCTACTTCTTTGCTCATCGGTGTGTGTCAGTGTTTGTGCATTTAGTGTGTGGCCCCAGGCAGCTCTTCTTCTCCCGGTGTGGCCCGGGGACACCAGCAGGCCAGACACAGTGGCTGCAGTGGGACCGCAGACAAGGGCTGGTGTAGACAGATCGGCTGAAATTCAGGGGTGACCACTGATCAGTGACTATTGAGTATTCACCATGTTAAAAGTGTCAAGTACTTTTATTCATAGAATTTCTTTCTTTAAAAATAGGTTTTATAAGTTTTTAAACATCACGTAATACCTACAAGCCGATCTCTAAATCTTACAGTGACCTTTGGTCAAAAGCAATACATAAAACTCTAACTTGACCTAGGCCATCAAATATCACATTTCCTCCCCATCACAAATGTTTCAGGTTATCATGTCATATAGAAAGGTCAAAAGCACAGTGAGATGAATGGTCCTCATAAAAATGCTCGGATCAGAAGTTTGCTCCTACACTTTCCGTATTCTTGCTTCAGTGAGCAGATAAAGCCCCCCTAAGGACCTGTTACTGGGGGTCCTGGAAGGGTTCTGAGGACCCTTCTCAGAGCTGCGGTCGGACAAAGCGCACTGGTCTGCACACATGCACTGGTCCCACTGGGACTTGCTGTGACGTTCATTGGATAAAACTTGAACTCGCTACCTCTCAGCTGTGGCATTTGTTGCAGGAGGCCTTACACGTTACGCGGGCCTCAGGCCCCGCCCACAGCGGGCACGTGGCGGGTCTCAAACACGGGTGCACCACCGGTTTTCCAGTGTGTGCGGACGTGGTCGCGATGAATGACCGGAAATAATGTGTCATTCTATATTTTTGCGATGATACTGAACATACAACTCGGATCATGTTTTTTACGTGAGATTTTTTTTTTAGTCCAAAAACGTGACTTTTTAACATAAAAAGTCCTCTGTATTGTCAAAAAGAAAGAGACTTCAGGCAGGAGAGTAGGCAAAGCTGATGTGAATCCTTAAACTGCTACAAAGCCCGAGGAACCCCAGTGTGGCGTGTGGATGAAAAGGCGAGGTCGGGCCACCTGCAGCTGCTGGAGGTAAAGGCAAAGCCCAAAGTCTCAGAGCGAGCTCTTGGTGACGGCTCGGCCCCCGGGAGGACGGCTGCGGGCCAGGCCAAGGCCATGGCAGAGGAGCTGACGTCTCAGGAGTTCAGAAAAAGAAGGAATGTGGCAAGAGAAGGGGGTTAAGCTAATCTCCTGCATACGGCTGGGCCACCTGGAGGGCTGTCCCCCCACGGAAAAGGGGACCAGGAAATCCCTTCCCAGGAGCTTGTAGGGAAAGAGAGAGAGGCTGGTGCCGGACGAAGCCCTCAATGGAAAAACTCTCCCGGGACGGAGAAACCCACCGCAAATCCAACGTCTAGGAAGGAGGAGGAAAAACTGTTTTCGGACTGTGGAAAAGCACCTTGCGTTGTCTTTTTTGTTTTGTTTTGTTTTGATTTTTTGATTTATTTATTTTTAGAGAGGGAAGGGAGGGAGAGAGAGAGAGAAACATTAATGTGTGGTTGCTGGTGGGGGTCATGGCCTGCAACCCAGGCATGTGCCCTGACTGGGAATCGAACCTGCGACGCTTTGGTTTGCAGCCTGTACTCAATCGTTGTTTTTTTAAATGCATTGTTAACATTTGCATGATCCAGTGGTCTGACCTCCCCTACCGCTGACCGATCACCATGGCAACAGAGTCGCCCTTGAGGGAGACTCAGCTGACCAGGAGGCCTGCAGATGAGTTCTGAAACTAGCAACCAGAAACAGGAGAATAACATCTGAAAAGAAATATTTTTGAAATGTTTGAAAACACAGAAGACCATTTTACTTTAGAAAGAAGCAAACAGAACTCCCAGAAAATAATCCCATCACCAACTTAAAAACCCAGCAGCTGAGCTGACAAGGAGATGGGCCATCGACGAAGGGAGAGTTAGGGCCCGGGCGGCAGGACGGAGAAGCTGTGCGGACTCGGCACAGGGAGGCAGGGCCCTGGGGAGCCGGCAGGGGAGTCCCCGCCTGGGGGGGGGGCTCCCTCACGTGGCCCATGGGGTCCCCAGAGAGGACAGAGAGGGGACGAGGGCAGTATCTGAAGAAGGGATGCTTGGGAATCTTTCGTAATCGAAGTCTGCTGTGAATCTTCAGACGGAAGACGCTTAGCTTCTCGGGAAAACCATACAGCTCCAAAGTGGAGGAAAAGACGTAGAAGCAACTAAAAACCAACGGCAGGTGACACGTAAAAGATCAAACTGAAACTGAACCTGTAGTCCTCATCAACAAAACAGAGGTCCCAGGACAGACCGGCAGTCCCTCGCCAGGCTGAAACCACGATGACCATTAGCCTCCAGGGCAACACTCAGCTGAACCGCCGTTCACAGCTAAGGCAAGCGGGGGGGGTGTGGCGTGTCGCCGAGACTGAGGGGGTTTGTTTCATTTTGTCCCCCCGCCCCCCACCGCCCTGCCACCATGGATCACTGTCCTTACCAAAGGAGAAAATGTATGAAAAAGTGAGCTGAACACGGGACAAAGAAATGACATGCAGGAAGTAAGAGGAAACAAATGGTTGGGCAACTTGATGAGACTCAGTGAATGCGGATTATAAAAATTCAAAAAATATCATAGCCGTCACTTAAAGTGCGTTTACAGAGCGAAGCTCTGCTTCTGGAAAAAGGCAGAGGGGGCGAGGCGGGAGGGGGCGAGCGGACCTGCTTGAGGCGCCTTCACCGATGGGGACGACGCCCGCGTTCCTGGTTAGCTTTGGACTTGACTGGCTAGTCAAGCATATTGAAGGGCAAGGATCCTTGTCAAGAGAACAGGAGTGAAACTCACTTCCAGGAAAAGACAGTGCAGCCTCGGGGGATTGGATAGAGCTGTGCCCACCCACCCACCTCCAGGAGAGAGCGCGGACAAGAGATTATGTACAAAGGATGAAGGCAAGGGAAGGAATGATCGGAGGAAATACAAATGGGTTCAGTTCTCTGGCTAAAAGACAAATTTGTCAAAGGATATACATATCTGAA